TTTTCGGTCTTTTTGAGATAGAATCTCCCTATAGCCCCAGCTGTCTTGAACTCACAGAGATCCGCCTGTCTCTGCCTCCCGAGTGCTAGGATTAAAGGTGTGTGCCACCACGCCCGACTTTTTTTTTAACTTTTACAAAAACTTTATTGAGACTTTCAGCCACATACTCTTGGAGTTAAAGTTCACGCATTCCCCTGTGGGAAGCCTTCAGGGATATCTGTTCCCAACAGAGGGCTTTCCTGTTTTCATGTTCCTGCTGATGAGGAGTGTGGGGAAGACTGGGAACTATTGTGATAGAGTCAGTTGTGCTATGTATTTACTGAGTGCTGTGCTTTATTCCCCAACCAGACTGACCACAGTGATCTCCCCACCTGTGGATGTCATTGCATCTTGTGTCAACTGCCTAACTGTCCTGGCTGCTCGGAATCCAGCCAAGGTGAGATTTCAGGTCTTCCCAGTGGCCAGGGAGTATGGCATTTAGCACGCTTAGAGAGGCGTGGCCACTGAATTCTTCTTTCCCCTTCTCAGGTCTGGACTGATCTTCGTCACACGGGTTTTCTGCCATTTGTGGCCCATCCTGTCTCCAACATGACTCAGATGATTAGGTGAGCCAGGTCCTGGGTGGGCAGACCTTATTTCCTACTGTGAACCATCCCTGGGTCAGGTCTAGCCTGGTTTATTCATTTTAAAGAAGCTTCTGTCTTCATGGCCTTGGGTGAGTGAGGACAAGATGAAGAGGGGCCTGGGGCCCTCCTCTCAGGGCACACTGATGGCTCACAGATTTGTGTTTTGCTTTGCTTTGCTTTTTGAGACAGGGTCTCCCTATGAGCCCTGGCTGGCTTAGAACTTGCTATGTAGACCAGGCTGGCCTCGAACTCACAGAAATGCACCTGCCTCTGCCTCTGGAGTGCTGGATGGTTCACAGTTTTTAAACCTTGAGAAATAGACGAAGCAGTTCCTGCACCTGCTTTAGCTCTGTGGGTGTTTACTTTCCAGCTGAGAGGATCCAGGGGTGTCGGGACCCAGAGACTTGATGTCCTATTCTCAAGCACAGTCAGTGTGCTTCTCCTCGATCCGAGGGTACGTGAGCTATCCCAGTAGAGCAGTTACTGACTGGCAGGCTCCAAGTGTCTGATGATCTGAGCGTTCTCACCTCACCCTCCTGCTTGGGACAGGTGCTTCCCCAATGGCTCATTTGACTTTTCACCCTAAACCTCTTAAGGTTATATATCAATAAAACATAATCTTAAAATTTTCCCTGGGTACAAAGTCATCCACACTTGATTATTCCATTTAAAGAGCTTCCCAGACAATGAGGAGAACGCTCTTTAATCATGTCTTGAAGCCTTGAAATTCCCCCCTCATTTTATTCCTTTATCTCTGTCTGTCCTTAGTGCGGAAGGGATGAATGCTGGAGGGTACGGTGCACTTCTGATGAATAGTGAACAGCCCCAAGGCGAGTATGGGGTCACTGTTGCCTTTCTGCGCCTGATCACCACCCTCGTCAAGGTACAGTCTGATAAAATTCTAGAACAGTTCTCTGTCTCCTGTTTCTTACGTGTAGGGCGCAGAGGAGGTGTCCTAACGCTATGGTGCCATCAGTTTCTATGTGTTGAGACTGGACTATGTGCTAGTATGTTCCATAGTAGTTGCTTAATTACGTGAGTTTAAAATAAGTACTCAGCTTATGGGGTAGAAATTGAGGGCTATGTGGAGTGCATGTTGTGCTATTTTGACTCCTCAGAAATGTGTACTTTAAAAAAATACATGAGCTGGGTGTGGTGGCGCATGCCTTTAATCCCAGCACTCAGGAGGCAGAGGCAGGCAGATCTCTGTGAGTTCAAGGCCAACCTGGTCTACATAGTGAGTTCCAAGACAGCTGGGGCTACAGGGAGACCCTGTCTCAAAAAGACCAAAAAAAAACCCCAAAAAACATGGAATGCTTCTCAAATTTACCTGTCATCCTTGCGTAGGGGACATGCTAATCTCTGTTGTTCTAATATTAGTGTATGTGCTGCCAAAGCCAGCACCAGTGTGTACATTTTTCATCTTGTCCTAGTGTGTTCCTGGTGTATGTGTATTCCAGTATGATTTCATAGTGTGATATTTACCACGTAGAGGAAATCTGACATTTCCTATTCAGTTCCCTCATTTCTTTTGTCTTTTTTAAAAAATTTGTTATTTCTATTTTATGTATATGCGTGTATTGCCTGCATGTAGGTAAGTGCACCCGTGTCGAGCAATGCCCACGGAGGACAGAAGGCTGTTGGATCCCCTGGAACTGGAGTTACAGATAGTTGTTAGCTGCCATGTGGGTTCTGGGATTGGAACCCGGGTCTTCTGCAAGAACAGTCAGTGTTCTTAACCACTGAGTCATCTTAGCAAATTGTGATCATGGGCTGATAAGTAATCAATTAATGGATCACAGCTCTGAAAGATACAGATGTTAAGTACAGAATTTTGGAGTTGGGTAGAATTAAATTGACATTTCAGGTTCATTCTTTATTGCTTGAATTACCTTGACCTTGGGGAAGTGCAGAATTTCTGAGGACTTCCATAAAGTAGGTGTGGTCTCTACCTGATGGAGTTTGGGGAGTCACAAATGGAAAGCATTCAGAAGCTGGGGCTGGTGTCCTGGGCCTGTGGTCCTCTCCACTCAGGAGCACAAAGCAGAAAGATAGCAAGTTCAAGCCCTACCTGGGCTGCAGTGTGAGCTCAAGACCTGGGCTGCAGTATGAGTTCAAGGCCTGCCTGGGCTGCAGTGTGAGCTCAAGGCCTGGGCTGCAGAATGTGGCTCATGGTGTAATATTTGGTGTATTGATGAGGCCTAGGTTCAATCCCTATTAATGCATTAAAACAAAAAAACACTCAGGCCATAGGCACATGTTCTGCCTGTAGGAAAAGGGAATGCTTAGAAACATATGTAGAAATATGTGTGCCTTTATGTAAGTGAACAATGTCCAGGTTTAAGATATAAGGAAACTGAAATTACTAAGCACTGTTACAAGAAGTGGTTTAGGGCCTCTGTTCTCCTTTTGGGTATTTTAGTGATAGTTGAGCTTCAGGACAACTGGTGGCCATGATGGTGAAGCTGGTGCTCTTTGTCACCAATCGCCTGTATACTTTATGCTTGAAGTGCCTCTCTTCTATTAGATTGACTTCTCCTCCTGCTCCACGGGCAACTTGGGTGACATTATCTTTCATTGCTTTATTAATTTATTTATTTGAGACAAGGTCTCTGTAGCCTGACACTATGTAGACCAGGCGGGCCTGGACCTTTCAGAGATCCGCCTCCCTCCGGGATTAAAGGCGTGCGCCCCCACACACCAGCTGACATTGTCTTTTTTGTCTTTTTGAGACCGTCTCCCTATAGCCCCAGCTGGCCTGGAACTTGCTACATAGACAAGGCTGGCCTCGAACTCCCAGATATCTTGCCTCTCAAGTGCTGGGGTTAAAGACATGCACCACCATACCCAGCTACTGACATTGTCTTTTTTAGACACTTTTTCTGTTTTAGAAACATTCACAACATGGTTCATTTAAAGTAGGAATTTCTGGAGTGTCTTTTTATAATTGCCCAAGGTTTTCCTAGTTGTCCTTTGTGCCTGTCTGTGCATTTGGAGTTAAACCGTGAGTAGTAAAGGACTCCTTACATGGCAGAGGCTCTCATGGAGCGTTTCCTATAGGGGCAGCTTGGTAGTACCCAGAGCCAAGGCCTGGTGCCCTGTGTGATGTTTGTATTGAAAGAGATGCTTCCTAGCTACCACAAGTGGCGCTACAACTCTGATGGTGTACGAGAGCTGATCGGTAAGGATGGTGTGGGCAGGGCAGGCTGCAGAATTCTGGGTCCCTAGAGAGCTTTGCCTCCCTTGGGATAAGGTCCTGAGACCAGGCCATGTCATCACTGTCTTTTCTGGAGTCCAGGTTGCCTGATTCTGGAGCTGATTCACGCGATACTGAACCTGTGCCACGAGACAGACCTGCGCAGCAGGTAACAGGACTGTGCCTAGTGCTCAGTGCTCCTCGGGGGGAGATGCTGGCAGTTGCTGTGTAAAGTCATCTTGTTGCTTCCCAGCAGCTCACCTTGGTTGAACTCAAAGCTCATTAATCTCAAGATTGTGATTTGCTTTTCCCTGGCTCAGTTATCATGTCTCCCTGTTGACAGAGAAGAACTAAGGGAAGGGAGTGAGGTCTGGTTTTTCTAGTACATGTGTATGTGCTTCGTTGTTTTCTATCATCTTTACAAAGATTACGGACGCTCATTTAGAAATATTTAGTGTAATACTTTTTTATAAGTTCACTTCTTAGAGGTGACTGTTCAGAAGTTCATTTATTCTGTGTTTTTCTTCCCCATGTTTTAACTGCTCTGTAACTTGATTCTGTGCCCCTACATATAGCTCTGTCCTGTTTTAGTGGTGCCAACATTTCATGTATGGGTTAATTCTGATTTATTTCAGTAAATATATATATTCGTGAGACTTTAGAGTGCTTTTCAGGACAGTCCGTAGGACCTAGTCTGTTCCAGGAAAGTGATCCCAAAACCTTCCTTTCACAGAGAGCTAATTGTATCACCTGTGTCCAGTTTGTGAGGTTTGCCCTGGACGGTACCTTTCCTTACGGGGATGTTCCCTAGTAACTGAGAACCCCTGTCTTCCAGCCACACGCCCAGCCTTCAGTCTCTCTGCATCTGCAGTCTGGCTTACACAGAAGCTGGACAGACAGTCATCAACATCATGGGCATTGGCGTGGACACCATCGATATGGTAATGGCTGCTCAGCCCCGAAGGTAGGGCTCCCCTGTGCCTGCCTGCCCCGCTTTGCATTTTTCTTCTTCTTCTTTCTCTTCTTCTCTTCCTTTTTTTTTTTTTTTTTTTTTTGTGCTTTTGAGACAGGGTCTTGAACTCACAGAGATCTGCCTGCCTCTGCCTCCCAGTGCTGGGATTAAAGGCGTGTGCTACCATGCCTGGCCACTTTGCATTTTCTAAGAGCTCCATCTTACATTAACCTCTAGCTGCTTTCTGAAGACAACCTTTTACTCCTAGGCTCTAGCTTTTATTTAGGCCCCTGGCTGCTATGTAGGCTGGCCCGTAGCCCCCTCCTTTCCTATTTTGGAGTTGGGCCTAACAGAAGCTGCTAGTACTGCTGTTGGAATCTGCTTCATGAGAGCATGTGTTAGGGTGAAATCATGATGTCTGAGTTAACTGTGGTCTCCATTTGGCACCTAGTGATGGTCCAGAGGGCCAGGGCCAGGGCCAGCTGCTGATCAAGACAGTAAAGCTGGCTTTCTCTGTTACCAACAATGTCATTCGGCTGAAACCTCCTTCTAGTGTGGTGTCCCCCCTGGAGCAGGCTCTCACACAGCATGGTATGTATTTCTCTTCCTATCAGCTATATTTCTGCCATATAAACATATTTTATGCCATGTTTTTGGACATTAAAAGTCTTTCCCGCCTCATTTCCTAGACTTGGAAACAAGGGGAGTGGGTCACACTTTACTCAGTTGGTGACATAGTGTCACAGACTCAGGGACTCAGATTTCCTTGGTCCAGCTGTGTGAGAACCTCAAACATGGTACTTTAAGTTCTGCCTCAGATTTATTATCTGACTGGGCACAGTGGTGCACGCCTTTAATCCTAGCATATGTGGAAGACCCAGGCACCATGAATTTAAGACCAGCTGGAGCTACCTAACAAACTCTAGGCCTAAAGAAATAGATAGATAGATAGATAGATAGATAGATAGATAGATAGATAGATAGATAGATAGATAGATAGATAGATAGATAGATGATAGATAGATAGATACATACATACATATATAGATATGTACATAGATACTTTAAAAATTAAATAAAACAAATAAATAAAAATTAAAATGTTTATTTTATGTGTGTGGGTGTCTTACCTACATGCATGTAAGTGTACCACATGTAAGCAGTGCCCGAGGAGGCCAGAAGAGGGCATCTGATCCCTTGGAACTGGAGTTAGGAACAATTGTTAGCTGCCATGTACGTCCTGGGAACTGAACCCAGGTTCTCTGCAGAGAACCACTGAGCAATCCCTCCAGCTCTGGGGCACATGCTTTTAATCCCAGCACTTAGGAGGCAGAAATAGAGGCAGAGGCGGACAGATTGCTGAAATCCTGGTATCCAGGAGACAGAGATTGAAGGATTGCCACAAGTTCCTGGCCAGCCTGGAATATAGTGAGACCTTGCCTCAAAAACGAAACAGAAAAAACAAAAACAAAATCCTCAAATGCATTGGCTTTTCTCACAGTGGTTTGAGCTCCTTGTTTTCCATAGTGTTTCTATCATGTCTAAGACCATTCTGAGACAAATAAGTTTTTATTTCTTTGGCTATGTTTGGAATTGAACCCAGGGCTGTATGCATAGACTGACCATGAACTCACTATGTAGCCAAGGCTGTCCTTGCAGTAACTCTCTCATTTATTATGCATATGTGTATGTGTGTTAGCACACCTGGGAGTTGGCTCTTTCCTTCATATGGGTTTCAGAATTGAACTCAGGTCATCAGGCTTGGCAGCAAGCACCTTTACCTCCTGAACCGTCTCGCCGGCTCCTTTCAGCTCCTGTTTTTTTGGTTTTTTATGAGACGTCTTCCTGTAGCCCCAGCTGACCTGGAACTTGCTCTGTAGGCCAAGGATCTCAGAGAGATCTGCCTGCCTCTGCCTCCTGAGTGCCAGGATTAAAGGTGTGTGCCACCACAACCAGCTTTGTTCTTTAACTGTTGATCCTTTTGCCTCCACCTCCCAAGTGCTAAGATTAAAAGCATGTTCAACCAGAGGTGTGTGTGTGGGGGGGTGCATGCTATGGCATACATGTGGAAGTCAGAGGACAACCTGTTAAAGTCCCTTCTTTCCCTTCAGGGATTGGCACAGATTGTCAGACTTGGTATTAAGTGCCTTTACCCACTGAGCCATCTACTGTCACCACCCCAGTACCCCCACTTGAGTTCTGAGATTTAAAACAAATTTCAATATAATGCCTTTTCTAACCTATTAAGAATATTTATTTTGGGAGCTGGAGAGATGGCTCAATGGTTAAGGGTACTGACTGCTCTTGCAGAGGACCCGGGTTCGATTCCTAGCACCCACATGGAAGCTACAAACTGTCCTTAACTCCAGTTCCAGGGGAATCCGACGCCATCTTCTGACCTCACATAAATACAGGCAATACACTCATACACATAAAATAAAAATAATAAATAAGCTGGGCGTGGTGTCGCACGCCCAGCACTTGGGAGACAGAGGATCTCTGTGAGTTCAGGGCCAGCCTGGTCTACATAATGAGTTCCAGGTCAGCTGGAGCTACAAGGAGACCTTGTCTCAAAAAGACTGAAACAAAACAAAAATAATAATAATAAATAAATAAATAAATAATATTTTTTAAAAAAGTATTTTCTTCCTAGTACTTAGGAGGCAGAGGCAGGCAGAACTCTGTGAGTTCGAGGCCAGCCTGGTCTACATAGTGAGTTCCAGGCCAGCTGGGGCTACAGGAAGACCCTGTTTCAAAAACAGGACCCCACCCCCCAAAAAAGGGAATATTTATTTTCTTCAAAATGTATCTCTTACTAGGTGTGGTAGTGCACACCTTTGATCCCAGCACTCAGGAGGCAGAGTCTGAGGAGCTCTGTGAGATCCAGGCCAACCTGGTCTTTATAGCGAGTTCCAGGCTACGGGGGGACCCTGACTCAAAAAAGTATCTTTGCCTTTACTGAATTCGGTTGAACTTTTTAACTCCTGGTGATCTCTTTGTTCCTGAAGGAAAGAAACTGAACTGGCCATGTGAACTCACTCTGACGCAGTGTCTGAGCGTTTCGGAAGACGGGCCTCTTGGCGCTTTGGTGTCTCACTGCTTTCCTTGCTCCTTCAGGTGCCCATGGGAACAACCTCATTGCTGTTTTAGCCAAGTACATCTACCACAAACACGACCCAGCTCTGCCTCGTCTTGCTGTTCAGCTGCTGAAACGTCTGGCCACGGTAGGACCCGCCTAGCCACCTAGAGCCCTGGATTTGGACTCTGCTTTTTGTTCATTGCAGTGCTAGGTATGGGACTGAGACCTTGTGCATGTTAGACAGACACGCTACCATTGAGCTACATACCTTGTCCTCCTTGAGACGGCTCCTGCCCTCTCCTAATAGGATCATTCTGCCAACTTGGATTTGAAATAACAAAGGCATATTCTGTGTGGTGGTTTTTATCCTGACTGCAAAAGGCAAAAATGCTCACTGTGAAATATTTAGATATGGCCAAATGTAGTGGCGCACGCCTTTAATCCCAGCACTGGGGAGGCAGAGGCAAGCGGATCTATGTGAGATCGAGACCAGCCTGGTCCACATAGTGAGTTCCAGGCCAGCTGGGGCTAAAGGGAGACCCTGTCTCAAAACAAAAACAAATTAAAATAAAATATATTTAGATATTGTACATCAATGTAACGTGGAAAGTTAAGGTACTCTGTGAGCGCCTCACTCCAAGAATCCTGTGAGAAACCAATTGTGGCGGGGTGCATCTATAATATAAATGCTATATTCCAGCACTGAGAGAAGGAGGGGAGGCAGGAAGATGCCTGGCCAACAAGCCTAGTTGAATTGGCAAGTTCCAGGTTCAGCGAGAGACCCTTGTATTCAAAAATAAAGTGGAAAATGACTGTGGAAAACACCCAGGGTTGACTGAGCTCCCACATACATGTGCACGGAATACACGAACTTGTTCACATACATACATACACTGCATTGCAGAGTCCTGCTGGGCAGGTTGTTTTGATTACTGCAGACACCCTTGTTTCTGTAGAATCCCATTACATACTGCTGGCTGACTAGCGGGTAGCAGTCTGTCCTCTTCATGCAGTCCTTACCACAGTGACTCCGTCACTTCTCTCTCTAATGGGCAGAGACATCTCATTCTGCATTTTACTTTAGCCATGTGAGGTGTTTAGTATCTTTGTCATGTATGTGGGTGTGTGCACATGTGTGGAAACCAAGTCAACATGAGGTTTCTTTCTTAGTCACTCTCCACCTTAGTTTTTGAGAGCTTGCTGATCTACTACATGAGCTAGTCAGCAAGCTTCAGGAATCCTGCCTCTGGCTTCCCGGCACTGGGATTCCAGGCTCCTCCACACTAGCTTACATGGTCCTGAGGGTCTGAGCTCAGGCCTTCAAGCACTTTACTGGACTGAGCTGTCTCTCCAGCCCTTAATATCTTTTTACCTTTATTGCTCCCTCTGTAAATTCTGGGCTTCACCCCAGAACTATATGTCCATTTTATTTCCGTTTTCTGGAGTTCCTATGTGCCTCTACAAAAGCCCACTGAGGTTTTTCTGGAAACGGAGCCCTAAGCCTGTGTTTCGTGGTATCTACCAGGTCGCCCCAATGTCGGTGTATGCTTGCCTGGGCAGTGATGCTGCTGCCATTCGTGATGCCTTCCTGACCCGTCTTCAGAGCAAGATTGAGGACATGCGCATCAAAGTCATGATTCTGGAGTTCCTCACGGTTGCTGTAGAGACCCAGCCAGGCCTCATTGAGCTGTTTCTGAATCTGGAGGTGAAGGATGGCAGTGACGGCTCCAAGGTCAGCTGCACTTTGGGTGGAGTGTGGTGGTGGCTTCCTGGGAAGTGTGGTTACAAAATTTAACTCCAGCTGTCCTTGTAGGACTTCAGCCTTGGTGTGTGGAGCTGTCTGCATGTGGTGCTAGAGCTGATCGATTCCCAGCAGCAAGATCGGTACTGGTGCCCACCTCTGCTACATCGTGCAGCTGTTGCCTTTCTTCACGCCCTATGGCAAGATCGCCGGGACAGTGCCATGCTGGTCCTCAGAACCAAGTAAGCCCCCTGGGAGGTAGTTGGTCTGTGCTTCTTGTTCTTGTCTGTAAGATGGGGGCAGCCATAGTTCTCAGAGGTTTCTTGTGGCAGTTCACCAGGATGTGCCTAAAAAGTACTTGGCACGTGTCCCTACAGCACGCCTCATGCTTCTTTTTCTTTTTTAAGAAAAAGAGCGCCTTGTGCGCTCTCGGCAAGGGGTCGTCACACGTTGCTATCAGTGCTGCCACCCCCATCAAGTCTCGTTCTTCTGTGTGTGCATGCTGTTATGTGTGGGGTGCACATGTGTGCATGTGGAGGCCAGACGTCAACCTCAAGTATCATTTCTCATGAGCTGTCCACCTCGTCTTTTGAGACAGGGCTCTCATTGTGATCTGAGGCTCACCAAGTAGATAGACTGGCTCGTAAGCCCCAGAGATCCTCTCGTCTCCATTACCCTAGGTCTAGAGTTTCAAGTGCATTCCAGCATGCCCACTTTTTATATAGGTGCTGGGGATCGAACTTGTGTGCAATTTTACCAACTAAGCCATCTCCCTGCCCCCAAACCTGTTTTTCGTGAGAAACATTTGATTCAGATGAATTTGACTTGCTTTATACCTTGGCTAGAAGGAAACGCTATCCCCTGAACTCTGTCGGCACAAAGGGACGGAATATCAGGAGGGTCAGTTTGGACATCTGTGGTCTAAGCTCTCTCCCTGCTCTTCTACTTTTTTTTTTTTCATTTTATTTATTATTTTTATTTTATATGTATGCGTGTATTGCCTGCATGTAGGTAAGTGCACCCGTGTCGTGCAATGCCTGCGGAGATTAGAAGAGGCCATCAGATCCCCTGGGACTGGAGTTATAGACAGTTGTTAGCTGCCACGTGGGCACCGGGATTCGAACCCACGTCTTCTGCAAGAACAACCAGTGTTCTTAACCCCTGAGCCATCTCTCCAGCCCCTCCTGCTCTTCTTTATGGGGCGTTTGTATTTTTTGGAGGGACAGTTTTTGTTTTTTCCGTGTGTGTGCATTGTGGGTGCTCGTCGTGTGTGTGTGTATGTGTGTGTGTGTGTGTGTGCGCGTGCGCGCATGCATGAATGTCCCAGCTCGTGTTGAGGTCAGAGGACAACTTGCAGTAGTTGATCTCTCTTTACACCGTGTGGTTCTAGGTATTGAACTTAAGCCATCACATTTGGTGCCAAGTTCCCTTACCCACTGAGAGATTTTGATGGCCCTGTTTTTGGAAAAGGTTCTAACTCTGAAGTCCAGTATGGCCTCAAACTCACTGTCCTGCCTCATCCACCAGCGTGCTGGAATTATAGGGGGAACCACCTCACCTGCTTTTTATTATTATTAAAACTTTTTCTTTAAAAATTTTATGTGAAGCCATGTGTAGTGGTATACACCTTTAATCCCAGCACTTGGGAGGCAGAGGCAGGTGGGTTTCTATAGAGGTCTGTCTGGTTTATATAGCAAGTACCAGGCCAGCTGGAACTACAGAGAAACCTGTCTCTAAAAACAAAAAATAACTTTATGTGAGCCAGGTGTGGTAGTGTACTCCTTAATCCCAGCACTCAGGAGGCAGAGGCAGGCGGATCTCTGTAAGATCAAGTCCAGCCTGGTCTACAAAGTGAGTTCCAGTTGCGGCTATGGGGAGATCCTGTCTCAAAAAAGATTTTTTTTTTAATGTTTTGCCTGCATGTGTGTAAGTGTGCCGTGTACTTGTAGTGTCCATGGAAAGCAGGAGAGGGCACTGGGTCCCTGGAACTAGAGCTTCAGTGGTTGTTAGTTGCCCTGTGGGTGCTGGAAAACAAACCTGGTCCTCGGGAAGGACCTGCTCCTCACGACTGACCTGTCTCCAGTCCCCCTTTTAAAATGACTTTATTCTGTGTAAGTTGAGCACACATGCACAACAGAACCATGTGGAGGTCAGAGGACAACTGGAGGGAGTAAGTTTTGTCCACCACGTGGGTCTCAGGAACCAAACTCAGGTTGGCAGCCTCGGCTGCACGGCATCTTTACCCTGAGTCATCTTGCCGGGCCCAGTTATGCCTGCGTTAAAGCTGTGCACCACCACGTTCTGCCTATTACACTTAAGAGGAAGATACGATTTTATTTATGGATGACTTTTTTTTATGTAGGAACAGTTGATTTATAAGCATGTTATAAGCATTAAAGTACGAAGAAATACTACAAAAGGAAGCTAGAGAGAGGAGGGTTATGGGGAAGAAAAAACGTCAATTCCAACTAGTGTTTTCATTCCAGACCCAAGTTTTGGGAGAATTTAACCAGTCCACTGTTTGGAACCCTTTCTCCTCCCTCAGAGACATCCGAGGTGAGCCGTGCCACGTGGAGGGTAGAACAGTGGCCCTGAGGGAAAGGCTGGCTTGTGAGGGGGTGAGAAGGACCCTTCCCTGAATTACATGCAGAATGTTTTATTCACTAGAAACTCTTCTCTCAGAACAGCGTCTGCTTCCTCTCCCTTGGTATCTCGCTTTGGAATAGAAAGTAGCTTTCCTGCTCTGGGTGGAAGGCTCCATGGTCTCTGCTTGTTAGAGACACTGTAGACAGGACGTCCTGCCCCTGCCCCACATGTTGGATGGGGGAAGGTTATACCTGCAATATTTTCCAAGTGTTGAGTCTTTGTTCTTTCAGAGAGGAGGACCACCAGGGAAGAGCTTTCTCCATGTAACTGGTGTATTCTGCTCTCTCTCCACAGCCCAGCATCCTGGAGACCTGTGCCCTAATCATGAAGATAATATGCTTGGAGATACACTATGTAGTTAAGTGAGTCCTTTTCCCTGTGATGTGGTCTTTGGTTTGTTACTGTTTGTTTGTTTGTGTGATGCTAGGAATCAAACCCAGAGCCTTGTGTATGCTGAGCAAGTGCCTTATCATTAAGCTATGCCCCTTGCACTCTCCCATGAGATTTTAATTAAAGGTGGAGGGGTAGGAGATGGTGGCCTGCTACTGGGTGCATGGCTTATGAGCAAGAAAGCTAGTTTGGACCATTTATGGAAGGCCAATTAACTGTGACTCTGGCCAGTCCATTGAGGGCATTTATGATTGTCTGAGTTAATGTGACGCAGATTTCATGTGACTGGGATTTTTATGGACGAGGAAGCCTAGAAGGGCTTAACTCATTATGTTGAGCAAGAAATCTGAGCCCCACACCTCTGAGGTGATCCTGGAGCTGACTGCCATAAGAGGTGGTTTCCTCTGCCTCAGCAAGGGTCTGTGCCCATCACATTCCCACCTGCTTTTTAATCCTGACCATGGGGTTTGTGTGTGTTTGTTTGTTTGTTTTTTGACACCTTAGGGGTTCATTAGACCAGTCATTAAAAGATACACTGAAGAAATTTTCCAGTGAGAAACGCTTTGCCTACTGGTCAGGGTATGTCAAGTCTTTGGCGGTTCACACAGCTGAGACAGAGGGCAGCAGCTGCACATCCTTGCTGGAGTATCAGATGCTGGTCTCCGCCTGGAGGATGCTTCTCATCATTGCCACCAGCCATGTAAGCACCATTGGGGCACACTTGGCCTTTGCTTTGGTAGGTAGCAGTGATGCGGCACTGTCTGACACACACAGCCCCTATGAGGTTAGAGTGAATCTGAGTTTGTCCCTGAGAGTTAAAATGCAACAGATCCTGTCAAGAGATGAGGGTTCATAGGGAGTGCTTGTGGAGGACTGGCGCGGGGGGCTGGGGTGGATTAATGCTTATAGGAGACCTTGGGAGCAGTGCAGAGAAGCTACTCCAGACCCATCTAGACATTCCCTGCTGCCTGCATCTGTGTTGGGCCTGGCCTCTTGCAGGTATGTAGTTGATGTAGCCTGTGGTGCTGTGTGCCTTCTGGATGCTGTGTTCATGCTGGGTGACTTATCTGCAGATAGTTGTAGCAACTGTGGCTGCCCAGCCCCCTCTTGGGGAGCTGCTTGTTTTCACTGTAACTTTCCTGGTCTTAGGAGAAGGTTGGCACCACTGTCTTCTCTCTGCTGTATAGTGGACAGTTTTAAACTTAAAAACTTCTTTATTTGTGTGTGTGTGTGTGTGTGTGTGTGTGTGTGCGCGCACGTGCGCGTGCACTCCTGAGGGGCTCAGAGGACAGCTTTGTGGGACCTGTATATGGGTTCCAGGAACTGAACTCAGATCATTGGGCTTGTGCTTTTACCCACTGAGCCTCCTCTCCAGTCCAGTAATTTTTATTTTTTTATTTTTTTTATCAT